CCCCCCCCCCCCAAAAAAAAAGATTTTTCTGTTGTGTCTTTAATTTTATCGCTTTTTTTTTTCTGTCCATTTGACAATTACCTAGTTTTCTGTTACCATTGAAGATAAAAAATAATTGCTCCAAAAACAAATAATACCGATTTGACTAACTAACTTTCCCACTTATCAGCTGAGTTGGAAATTGGGCAAGCAGTTGAAGAGCATCCTTTTGTATCACTGACGTTTCGTTGTTCTTGGCGCATACAAATTGTATAGCGTATGAAACAGTACTGAAGTAAAATTTGACATTAAAACTTATAAAAGCAGTCCTGTTCTTGAAAAAGTTGAACAAAAAAGATTAGTATACTTAAATGAAATGTGCTGAACCATTTTAATCAAATAAAAGTTTTACCTGGCAACAGGAAGAATTCGCAGTATCTGTAAAGCTCGTCGATGGCATTCCACTCTTTCGCAGTCTATAACACTGTCCACAAATTTTTTGACATCCTCAAATGTATTGTTTAAGCAATATTTTTCATAATGTTGATAAAGCTGTTAATCTGTGCTAAATTTATAGTATTTTACAAATGTTAAAAACTTAAAAAGTTTGGTAATGTTGATAAATAAACTACTCTTTTCTGTGTTAATTTACACCTTTTCTGTAAAACAATAAGATTTTACTGCGTTATACTTATAATATAAATTTCATTGTTAAACAGATACATAAATAAATGTAAAAAAAAAGGTGCAATTAGTAACCTAGTTTTTTAACTTTATACTGATTTATGCTTCTTATTTCAGCAATACCTCTGTAACAAAATTAGGACAAGAAAACTACGTTCGTTTGCTAACCTTTTCCTTATCCTTATTGCAAGCGTTTTGACGACTTACAGTTGAATCACAGTAACGTTTATGTAATGAGGCTAATGTGAATGCTACTTGTAAGCAGATATCATCTGTGTCTTCCTCTTTACGACATTTATCAAACCATTTCTGAAAGATTATCAAATAGCTGGTACAAAACCTGTGCATTATATCCTGCTCCCAACTACATCTAGGATACAGTCTTTGATCTAACAATCTTGACTGATTATTTTGCTGCATTAAAATAACAAACCTGTAAATCTTTCGCAATTTTAAATGCTGGATTTATTGCAGTTACCAATGACTGAAGGTACCTCTTCAATTGATTTGGTTCATTGTCTGTGATCAAACGACGTACAACGTGATAAGCCTGATCTGTACCTGCTGCTCCTAATGCGTCTATCAGCAATGGCCTTCAAAAATCCATTTTTTTCAGCAGCCTTGCACCCCAAATAACAATATTCAAAACA